GGGGCGCGGGAGGCGCCGCCGGGCAGGTGAGGCGAGGCGCTGAGGGCGCCGCTGCAGCTTTCGGTGAGGCCGCAGGCGGCAGCGGGCCCTGCCGGCACCGCCGGGCGGGGAGCGGTCTGTCAGGCGCGGGCCAGGCCCCCCCCCTTCACCTCACACACGCTCCCTCCTTCCTCCACGGTGTCCCGCTGCCGGTGGAGGCGGCGGTGTGGGGCCGGTCCCGGGGTTGGGCAGCGGCGGCAGAAATGTGTTTCCAGAGCGGGCACAGGGAGGGTGCCTTACCTGAGGAAAAAGCCCCCGACCCTTCTCGCCGGGGCCGGGGGGGGGGGCGGGGGGGTGTGTGAGGGAGCCGGGGTTTGCCCTGTGGGTTGAAGCCGGGGGGGAGTTGCCCCTCGGTCCCTCTTCTTGCCCAGCTTTTTCAAGGCTTCTTGGTTCCTGGAACGTTTTACGTTGAAGTGCTGTATTGTCGAGACGCGTTTGGAAACAAATCTTCTCCTTCTCACGGTCCAGTAAAACTTTGGATACTTTTTCCCTAATAAACGAACTCGGTTTACTACCGATTTTGGCATTCTGAGACTTTTTAGGGTTGTGGGTGTTCGGTGGGTTTTTTTGGTTTGTTGGGGTTTTTTTCCCCTTGATACATTTCAAGCAAATATATATGTCTATAACACAAATTTTTGTTGCACTGTTTTTGGGGGGGTAAAAAGCCCTAAACAGGCCATGAATATGCTGAGTTTCCAAAGCATCTTTCCCTGTACTGTATAGCTATGCTATTGGCAACCAAATTGTACTAGTATTCACTTCTGCTCTCCGTTTTTAAGCTTGCAATGACTGTTTCAACAGCAGAATGTGTTACTGCCAATTTTTTGTTGACTGAACAACAGTAAATGTTGGTGTTAATTAGTGTTTGCTCTAGGCGTATTCCAGGTATGTAACTGCTTTTGAAGCAAAGCCTAGCTTAAAGTAGATATCTTCATTGTCATGAGTGGAAGGTGTGTATTTTTAATTGCTGGTTGCTGGCCTATTACATAATCATTTTGATGGAAGGGTAGGGATAGTAGTTCTTTTCATGGGTGCATGTTAAGAAAGCTGGAAAAACAAGTCCTCCTTCAGCTTTAATTTATAAAAGATTGTTCTAAGCACAACCCATATCTGTTCTTCTACTGTGCAGGTTTATTGTGAAACAGTTGCAGTGTCAATGAGAAGCTAGCAGTAAACCACATACCGCAAGCGTTGTTATCTGAGGAAGATGCAGTGTCCTAGTGCATACCTCTGACAGAGCTGGTAAGTGAGAGTTTAGGCCTTTACAAGTCTGTTGTTTGTGAGACTGCATTTTGACTCTTCTGTTTTATCATGGCTAATTCAAGGTCACATCAGAATTAAGAAGCCTTTGGCAGTGGGATGAGTGTTATTAGTTTCAAACTCTGATCTGCTGAATGAATTATAAAACCACCTGAAATTTAGGCAATGTTTCTTTTTACTGCCATCTTCTTCCATGTACCTGAAAAAATTACCTTACTCAAACAATGCTCCACCACCATTTTAAGCAAGCAAGATACTGATAATGCAACAGAAATAATAGATGCACAGCTATATGTATGGAAAATGTAGACATAAAAATGAATTAAAGAACACTTGCTTCCAGGCGTGGGAAGGGAAAAAGTCTTCTAGTGCTTGGTGTTCATGAATTGTGTTCTTTTTTTAAAAGCAACAAGAGGAAGAATTCCCTTAGTGGATCTTGATGTGTTTAGCTTATGTGTATTGTGGCACTTGAGATCCAAGTTGACAGTGATTTGAGATTTGTTTCAAATGTGGAACTCTGGTGCGAAATACTTGTTTTAATTAAAATGTCTGTGTTAGCAAAACTGTGCTGGTATCTCAAGCATAAATGCCTTCTAATTTGGGCTCTAGTTTGTGCATGACATTATCTTTTTTTTTTCTGTAATCCAAAGAGAAAATGCTGCCAAAAGTGAAACATATTATATGGGCTTGTAAATTGTTTTGCTGTGGGTGTCTGATCCTGGTCAAATTCATGTACTTAGAATTTAAGAACTAAAACTTCAGCTACCTCATTCAGAGGCATGGTTAGTATTCCTGTGTACTGAATGTCTTGGAGGCTTTAGGGCTTTTTCCTTTCTAAAGTTAAAATTATGGTGTAAAATACTGTTCAGGTTGGCAGTAGAATGGTTATGACTGACTTGTGGCTGGAAAGCAGTAAAATGAGTTGTGTTACTTCGGTGGTTTTGTACGGGGAGACCAATTAACAGTACAAATCCCAACTTGAAGTTGCTGTCTTGTTTGGAAGTTCTGCACTTGATTTATTCTTTGACTTACAAGTCCCAAGCTCTCTCCAACCTTGCTGAGGTGTGGCACAACCAGACTTTAGGAACATTATATATGTTTTTCATATTATTACATATAAAGAATATGGATGCTTAGGTCTGTCTGATATCTTTCATGGGCATTACCCTAAAAAAAAAAAAGTAGATATCTAGTGTTACCTTCATGGCTTGAATTTCTGTCTCATTCAGACGGATGTTATTTATATATTATGTTAAAAGGCTTCTAATTTTTACTGGCTGATAGAGAATCCAGCAGGGTGTGAAGAAGTGGTTCTGGGATGTGGAGTAAAATGTAGATTGAGTAAACATAACATGTTTCATATGTTTGGAAGCTTTAAAGCATCTTGTTCATCTCCGATTTCCTTTTCCTGCAGTTAAAGCTGGTTCAAAATTCAAACAACAAACAACCAACAATGACATATATGTGTGTGTATATATATGCACACGAAAAAGCTTAGATATTGTCTCTCACAGAAGTAAAAAATACTGGCTGATGATTTGCGGGCAAATAGATCTTGTGTCCTATTTCTACTGGAACAGCTGCAGGGCAGATGTTCCAGTTTGTTAGAATCACTAGTGGCTGTGAACAAATATCTGCCCATAACTGCAACAGTATTGTTGATTAGTAGCTTGATTTATTTCAGGAATGGAAATACAACCAATATTGAGCTGATGCTGTATAGCTATTTGCATTCACAAAGAGGGGGATTGGGCACTTAGAAGTGGCTAGTTTCACAAATGTTTTCTTGTTTAGTATGACTTGTTCCTGCAACTAAGTATTTTTCTAGATAACAAGAATATACTTGTTTAAACAAATGCCTCTTTCACCTGCCTTTTATTAGTATTTACAACTATTATAATAACCAGGTATTGACAAAAATGTGTGCATAGCATCCGAAACAACAAAGAATTATCAGCAAATGTCTTTACCAACTCAAAGTATTTTCCCCAGAGGAAGTCCTTCTCAGCCAAGCAGCAATATCTCATTTCTGGAGACAGATTGTAGAGAACTGATAGGTAACAAGGCAAACTCTGTGTATGTATTTGTTTAGAATGCATCCATCCATATGCACATCCTGAGGATCGTTTTAACATTAGACTCAGCTGGACTGCTTTGAAAAACCTTAAAAGTTGTGCTACTCAACTTCTGCTGCAATAGAAAGGCATAAAAATAAAAGTTTTTAAAAGGTTAAATGTGCAAATTAAAGTTACACCCAATGTGATCCGAAACAGAATTATTCATAACTTTTATGTAAGCACTTGTATACTGTCACACACAAGTGGAAAGCTCTCTGTCAAACTAGGTAAATGCAATGCCTACATCAGCGATCATTTACTGAGTCATGAGTAACTTCTGTTCTGCTCAATTGTGCTCAAGGAGAAACTGTTACCATCAAAGCTATAAGCTAGGTGTTCTTGGCTTTTCGGGATACGTACTGCACTCTAGAAAGGTTGTCTCCTTTCATCTTCTGAGATGACTTCACCTTTTTGTTAAAACAGGTGGTTGCATTTGAGGTATCTTGTCACCTCGGGTATTGTTGAAAAATAACATTAAAGCTTTTTAGTCAGCAGTTTGTCAGCTTAGCTGTGGATTAGAAACATATCTTTCCATCCTTGCATAGAATTCCCAAAGCTAAATTTTCCCGGCTGTTTTTGGCAGTGCCATCACTTTCTAGCAGTTCCGTAAAATGCCATGATCCATCTTAATTTTCACTCCAGGATGTGGTGGTGGTACCGTTCCTGAAGCAAACTAGCTCTTAGTATCTCATTCTGGAGAATCTCTGCATGTTCAAAGGTTCCTTGCTGCTTACATTCCTTGGTTCCTATAATCTACATTGCCAACAGCAAGGCTAGTCAGGCACTGTCTTGGCCGTTGTCAGCTAGCATTGCATGCATAGTGCACTTTATATTGACTGTCTGCTTTTCATTTTAGTATATGCATCGTTTTATTTACGTGTATGTAAATGTGAACTGATGGAATCATGGATGCTGTAGCTTGACACTGACAGACTTGATATCCATTGTTATGCTTAAATTGGAAGGTATTGTGACAGTGCAAGCTTTTCCTGCTCTGCCCCAATCCTCACTAACTGTAGAAATTAGTTGTAGCAGTAAGACTGGAGTTTGGTTTTCAGGATTTTCAGTCCTTGATCTTGGAGCTTCTGTGTGATAGCAGGGGATAATAGTAAGTTGTCCCACCAAGCTGAACTAATCTTACTTTGAAGTTGAGGCAACAGGCTATGTGTAAGTGATTTAATGGAATCACTGAATGGAAATTAATCATAGGAACTGGTCAATGATTTTTTTTCTTCAGAAAAACAACTTGCCAAGGGTCATGATACATATTTTGCAGTAATTTAAAACTCATCCACTGTTTTTTTTTTTATATTTAACAAATAGTAACAATTTTCAGTTTGTGAAATGAGTCGCTAAAGGAGTTTCCCCCTACAGTTGAAGGCTTTCTTTCAGACACTTTCTTCTTATTAAGCTCTGGTTAGAGAGCCTTGTCTGTCTCCATGTTTTATTTATAATACGAAAGACTTTTCCTAAAGTGAGCAGGCTGCAGGTACAGTAGTTCTGAGAACTGTATGTGGCTTCAAACATTATATTGACTAGAGAGTAGGCAGATATTATAATATTGATATAGGGAGTGTCTGAACAATGTGGATCAAGCATGATGTAGCACCTTTTAGTTTATCCAAACAATTTCATGTAAGAAATGTGGACTTTATTTAGGTTATGTGTGGAGTTATATAGCAAAAGTGGAGGGGAAAAAAAGCAAGGCTTGTAGCAGACTGTCCACAATGTTCTGTTCCACATTGAGAAAGTCCCTTCTCAGGCAGCTGAGAAATACTACTTATTAACAGACAGACTTCATTAATGCTTTATGACTGTGCTGTCATGGGAGAAATTAATTGCAGTATTGCCTTTTCAAAGTGGCGTGTGCTCTCTGTCCTGACACAAATCCATTGCAGTTCAATGCTGCAGCCCGAGGAGCCTGTAACTGTGGGGAGGCTTATCAGTGGTGGTGCCAGGCGGTTACTGTTCTATTGCAATCACATTGATTTTTAGATCCTGGGTGTGGAATAGTCTCTGCATGGCCCAGTTTGGAGCAGACTGATAAGGCTCCTTGTTTCTTAGCAACCACAGTCTGCCATAGCCAGAACCTTCCCCTCTGCAGCTGGAGGGAAAATTCTGAATGTCTCAAATTTGTATCTTGAACCAAGGTAAGTCCCCCTGGCATATTTAATTCAAAGGGCTTTACCAACACATTCCTATTATTTGAATGCAAAAGTTCCTTAACAAATGGAAAGCATAACTTCTCTCGTCATTAATAAGACGCTCTAATTTCTTTCCCTGTTCTTTAGACCTGTGTCTTTCCTGGGCATGGAGGTGCCATATGTCCTTCTCTTAACTAGACTCGTAGCAGAAGTTACCAGCAAATCTACTGAAAGTTCGGTAGGTACTTCATGTTTTTTGTCATGCTAGGCACTATAAAAACAGAAGTATCAGATTATTTTCCTCTCACATTGTAGTTTATAGAAGGCTTTCTAATTCAATAGAAGTGACCTGTACTCCTAGCAGTCATTAACTGAAACTTTTACAGTGGGTCAGTTTGCCGTGATGGCTGATTGCCTATTAAAGCATTGAATTCTTCCCAGTCATGTGCTTGTAGGATAGCAGAGGTGCAACTGGTAATGCCTCTCATCATGTGGAAAAAGCACCCTGATGGTCAAAGACCCCCACTTTTCAAGCTGCTTGGCAGTTTAACTACAAACAGTCCAAAACTTGGATACCCAAAAGTTAACTTTTAAATGACTGAGAAGCTCTGAAGCAAACACTACTTCAAGTCACAGAAGAAGGTCAAGAGTACAAAATTCTAGTTGCAGGAGAGTTTGACCAACAAAACTTCTTAAGAAACTGGTCTTAAGCTTGTTATCTATAGATCTTCTGGTTCTTTACGGTAGTCTACCTCCCCGTGATGTGCTAAGAGTGTGAAGTCAGCCTACTAATTTCAGTTTTGACAGTCCCAACCATTTCTTCTGATAGCTTTGATCTTTGTCACCCCTGGATTTGATGGGTTTTGCAGATAAGCAGAAAAATACTGGCTGTTACATGTTGGGTATATTTAAGTTGCTTCTATGGCTGAATATAGATCAGGTCTTGTTACTTTTGACCAAGAATACTTCATCCATTTTTAAGACTGATTTGACTTGCTATATTCTTTAGGGGAATGTACCTGCAAAGCTTTAAAAGGCATGGGTGTTTTGTGGCTTATTTTTCTTGTACAGATTCAGAGAGTGGATATGCCCAAGTCTATAGGGGATGTTACTAATATCTATCAAAAGAACCACAGAGTTTCTAACAACCATTTATCTCTAAGCTTATGTCACAGCTTGTTGTAATTCGTAAATAATTTTGAAACTGGCTTTTATATAAACAAAGGAAAAATTAAAATAAACTACGTGCCTTCAGGATATGTGAAGTTATTCTTTTATATTAAATGTTGAAGGAAGAAGCTTTTGTAGTTCTGCTGGATTGCTCTGCCAAATGTAGATGTTATCATCACTTGCAATATGGGCATTCAGTGAAAACTGTTTTTTTGCTAGTCATTTTGCCAATAGTATTTCTGAGCAAATCTGTTAGGGCATTTGTGTGCTGTGGGAAGGCTAACCCCCTCTGAACTGTGCTTCGCTGAAAAATTTAGCAAGTATATTTCTAAAGCAGTTTTTTGAGGCTTTGTCCAATGTCAACAGCAGATTGTGCATTTGTTCTCCAAGTGTTAGTTTGGGTAGCAGCTGCCAGGTCAAAATCAGCTTGATGGTGCATCTAGCTTGTTCTTTCCTTGTAAGGTTGCTTAATGCGAAAAGAAAAAGTTACAGCAAGTTTTAACTGCAGTTACTGCTTATTCCTCTATGTTCTCTGTAGATTCTTTGTTTTCTTGTTGAAGTGTTTCAGTAAACTTAAAAACCGTGTGAAATAGAATTTCTGTTCTTAGGTTTCGGAAACAGAATGCTGTGTGGATATGTTGGATTCAAACAGTTCCTGTCCAGTAACGAACCAGTGCAGTCCAGGTATAGTGTGTCATTGTTTAATAAAATTCCAGATTGTTTTTGACAGTTAACACCAAAATACAGTGCCTAATTAATTGGGGAGTGAAAACAAAATAATTAGTGCATGTACATATTGAAGTTTTTCTTCCTCTGTAGACACAAGGTAATGCTTCTTATGACTCATAAATATTGTTCTTGCATGGTAAGGAGAGTAGACAGCTATTAATAAGGTTATTCTTTATCTTTTTTAGTTAGTGTGCAGTTAGATTATGTAAGAGCTATTGTAAATGCTTAAAAGCCCATATAATGAGCATAAAAAGCAAAAATGCTGTAATGTGTATCTAAGGGAGCATTAAGAATAAATTCAATATTGTCTTGTTAGCACAGAATGCCTCATTCTTCCGAGTGCCATTTATGTAGAGTTGTTTTCTTCTAAATGAAGTTAAAAACTTTTGTCACTCTCCAGCAGTAGTAAAAAAAATTTTAATGCCACTTTATTTAAAATCAGAGAGTGGGAAAATGGCTTCAGAGCCCACAGTAACAAGAGAATTAGTGACTTAACAATTGGGGTCCACTTCTGGGTTCAGTCATTTCCTTGTGACAGCTGTTAAAGCATTTTAAGCCTATCTATTTTCACTGCTTCGTTACTTCTCTAGCTGTTGCTTCATTTAATGCATTGTTTTCTGCTTCTAAATGATCTTAGATATGATATAAACAATTGTCTCCAAGTCACGGGATAGTGTTCTTAAATCTTACTGTAAACTGATAATCTACCAATATCTTTGGTGTCAGATAAGTGCTTTGATGCTTCCTTCCTATTACTGTAGAAAGTCTTTGCCCTTACATTGGGTCTGTTTGTGTTTAGATTAAATGTCAGATGTAATTTATTACTGTGGGCATCAAATGTGGTGCTTCTCTCTAAGGAAAAATGTAGCAGCAGAGCTGTTTTCAAATCAGCACCTTACTAATAGTTTGCTTTATGGGATAATTGATACCAGTTTGGCTCAAGGCTCTATAGAACTGGATTTTAGCCAGCACAGTAAGTTTTTTTTTCTTTTAAATGTAGACTGTAATATGATCTAGTAGGAATAGCCTTCTAATCTTCATGTCTCAAGTCTAAGCCTCAAGTGAAACCACCACAGCTTTATTGTATTAAATGAAGTTGTTACTGAAGATGTGCCCTAAAATCTCTTTTTCTTAACAAAGACGTAGCAGTATGCGCATTTAAGCATAAATTGAGATTTGAACATTGAAGACAGGCCAAGATGAAAGTTTAATCAGTTTCCAGCCTGCCTGGTAGGGTGACCGAGATAAAACACTCACCATCTGTCACAGAATAGTTTAAACAGGTTTGGGTGGTTCTTAAAGTGAAACAAATAGTACAATACTTGAGAGGACTGAGGCATGGGGAAGAGACTGTATTATGGCAGTATTCGTGTTTTAGCTTGCCATGCTTCAAGTGATTGATTATAGGGATGCCAGCACCTTTTTTCATCCAACTACACTTTCTGGTTCTTAGCATCTTTGTCCCTGCCTATTTCTATTTTCAGTACTATATATTAAAATGGCATTAAATTTTGTTTCGACAGTGTATGACCTCTGAAAATAAATGGCAAAATTCTGCTGCTTTTTTAGTCTTGTTGAGGGTAGTTGCAGGTTGTTAGACACTTCCCATTTTTCTCAAAACTAAAACACGTGAAGCAGTGAATGGAGCTATGTTGAAATTGCCCTCTGGGAGCTGTTTGCTTGTAACTCTCTTTCTCCTTTTTGGCCCTTGAAAGGTTATCTTTTCTGGAATAAATGCTTTGAAATGAAACCTCTTAACTCGTGTAATATAATAGGAAGCAGGAGATGTTTGTAACCAGTAGACCAAACAGAAGGAACTTCTGTTGCCTTTATCTCTTTCTGAAGGCTAGGAAATATCTCCAGTGTTGCTTTTGTTGTTTTCAAACCTCTGTACATCTTATTTTTATGCAGGTTGTTACAGACGATGGAATGAGGATGGTAGTAGCAGCTGCATTAAATGCAAAAATGAAACCCTTCCTGTTTTATCTATTTACAATCTGACTGAATGCAGAAATAGTGAGTCATTTACAATCCCTTCATTTTGATGGGTGTTTTTCGGTACCAAGATCTCTTCTTGCATGCATGGTCCAGCAAAGACTGTTCAAGAAGGCATGAAATGTTGCAGATTGTGTTGGTTTTTTGGTTTGTTTTTTTCCCCTTCCCTTGTAAAACTTCAACCTTTTCCTAATATAACTTTGAGCTTTCAAACATGCAACAAAACCTATGGAAACTTTGAAACTTAGTTTGCAGAAACTGTGCAGAGTGCTATGGAACCATTCCAGAGTCTGGGGGGTGGGGGGAATCAGAATCTTGTTATGTATTAGAGTAGCTAATCTGCAAAGCCAAATGCAATATCAAGAAAAAAAAATTATTCTGCCCAATATAAGTTCTTTGAAAAAAATGTGTATTAAGACGAATAGCTTCATTTTGTATGTGTGCTTTGTTTGAGAGGTGAGAACCATTCAATTCCTTCTAAATATTTTTTTAATGAAAGAGACAAACTTGATGTAAGTTTCTGGGAAATGCACTACTGAATTATTTTCTTTTTGGACAAATTATGATGATGCTTGTTTGCTTCTCTCTTTTTTTTAAATCTCAAAAGTGATATAAAGAATGAATTTTTCATGGTAGAAATCAGGGTTCTTGTACAATTTCAAATAATTACTGAGAAGTAATTTTCAACAGATCTGTAGTTTTTGTGAGATTTTAATTTAAAAAATTCTTTTTTATTACAGCTGGTATCAGAGGAATGAATTTCCAAATGAATGTAAGCACCGTAACTCCTTTCATACAGAACATAGGTGAGTAAATGGAAATAGCTATTGAGCGCAGGCTTTGTGATTATTCACCGCGTACCAGCCCCTTCATGACACAGCATTTGAAACAAGTTGTAAAATGTTTTTCTGTAGCATAGCTTTTATTCTAAATGTAGTAGCCATTTTTACTTTTTCTGAGTTGTTCTCAACAAGAATCTTTTGTAAGTCTTAGAGTTGAATTTTGAGGTAACTGTGTTTTACTGAATAGTTCTGATTTTTGTCCTAGTGATCTTGAAGTGATTTTTTGGGTACAGGTTCAGCTGGTTATTTATGAAACCCCATAACTTGAGTGCTGAACCTTATGCTGCAAGAGTTTTGGGTTTTAGGGGTGAGGCAACGTGTTACACACCTGTTACATCTTGGTTAGTCTTTCTATAAGTTGATTTTATCACTGCTGACCAGTCATTTCTGTTTAATTTCCTAAAACTACTTGTTCAACACTGGTAGGAATAATACAAATTGAGACTATTTAGATGGTATCCTATCTCTTGCTGAAGTGTTGCTAAATGAAGTGATTTAGTGTTACAGGGCGAGTGCTTATCAGTGCTCTTAAAAAGGAAAGCTAAACAGCCATGTCAAACTTGAGTGCTGCTGATCCCTTTCTAACATTTGTCTTGTCCTGCATATACTTGACTTGTATCTAGTGCTCTTCAGTGTGGACTTCTCAAGCAGAGTTGTCAGACAGATCTGTCTTAGTTTGTGTGCAACAAGATGAGTAACAACTTTTGTTTTAAGAAACGCTTGCTCGTTGGGATCATAATCTTAAATAAAACAGCAGAATGAATATGCAGGACATTTTCTGAGGCAGGGAAAGTGGGAATAGAGATGAAGGAGGGCACCTTTTGCTAATGTCTGCCTCCTTAAATGGTTTCTATATCAGTCACTTGTGGAAAATATAATACTGGGTGTACTGTACTAGTGGTATATTGTCTGTTGACAAGTCTGTCTTTAGGAGATTTCATTTAAGGAATAAAAGAACAATATTAATGTTGACTGCCTCCCAGCGCTGGTTTTGAAAGTTATATAAAAGAAACGGAACGATGGATTAAAAATTTGTCTGCCTTCAAAAAAGTAGGGACTAAGGCTTTCCTGACATTTGACAGGTGGGGTTGGGGAAGTTGCTCGTGTAATAAAATGAGTATTGAAAGATCTTTGCAAATATTTCAGTGAGGTCTGTCTGTATATTAAACCCCCCACCCCGTTGTTTCTTTTTTTTTCTCCTATGAATATCAGGAAGTGGGTCTTTATCTTTTGTTTAACCTTTCTATTAGAAGAGATTTGTAGTGAATAATAGTCTTTTCTCTCTCTCGTTATATATATTTTTTTTGTACAGGGGGCCCAGAAGTGGCAGCCTCTCTCATCTTAGGGACATTTTTCATCAGTTTATTCCTGATTCTGTCTGTTGCTTCTTTCTTCTACCTCAAACGTGCCAATAAACTTCCTAATGTTTTCTACAGAAGAAACAAAGGTAAAATATCTCTCATTGTCTATTTAATCTCTAAAATTTTGGCCCTTGAGTTTTTTAAGTTAAAACCTTTTAAATTTCTTCATGTCGGTGTCCTAACTTATTGTAACTACTGTTATCTCTTCTGATCAGCTAAAGCAAAGCAAACTAATGAAAATTTTTTTCCTGCTATGTGTTTACAGTATGTATGTTTTTATGGCAGTGCACAGGATGTCTGTTCTCAGTCTAAGTGTGATTAGGTGCATATTACACAGTATGTCTCACACTAACCCAGCTATTGTTTTTTGTAGCTTTCAAAGATTTGCCAGAGTACAATACTTGATGTTAGTTGTCACTGAATATTAGATACTTGATTTCAAAAAGGGGGGGGGGGGGGGGAAACTAGTCAGTGCTTTTTGCACAGAAGGCATTTTTATAGAACTTAATACTTGTTTATTTCAGTACACAAAATGCCAGACAATTGTAAAGCATTACAAAAAGCAGTTGTTTATTCCTGGTTTAGAGAGAAATGAACTGTAATACTAAAGGGCAGTATACTTATCATGGATGCATCAGCAGCAGGAGAAAGGGAATGGAATTTGAGGTTCCTCATTACTGTACTACTCATTCAACTGTGTTTACCCTCTAAATGCAGGACTTACTGGGGCTTGGAAGAGCTAACTGCCTGAATTTTTTTTTTGAAGGAAACACCCCTTAGCTTTTCTTCTTATAAAGAAATCTCTTCTTTATTTCTGCCACTCCTGTTACTGAGAAATGAAGCCATGTAACTAAAATGCAGTGGCCTGACTTCATGCCAAAGTGATTCCAGAAAAGCTAAGGAAAGAACACCTGGGATGTGCTTAGCCACAGGGCACCAAGACTTTATGTAGACATCTGGCTCTTTCAGATGCTTCAGTTTCTGTGAAGTTGTTCTATGTGTCCACATTTTACTAGTCTTCAGTTTCTGGGAGGTGGTGAGCAAGATATGTGGAAGGTGTTGTCTCCATTTTACCCAGTGTTTTGCATGAAACTGAGGCTGATCTATGACTGTCTCACCCCTTCTATGCAGTCACTGTGAATGATTCCCATGACAACCTCTAGCACAGCATTTGCTGTGTTAGAGCTCCTTCTGTTGAAAGCAAGCTGTTTACTCATTAGGTCTGCTAAACAAATAGACCTCCTGTTATTTTCAATTTTCATTCATGTCTTACAGGACCAAGCTCAAGCTAGACTGTCACAATAGAAATAAGCTTAAAAAGAGAAAAGGGTGTGGGTGGAGCGATACAATTCCATTGTTTGGCTAAGAATGTTGTATCTAGTCATAGTTAACTTCATGGAACATCACATTTCCAGTCTCTGTGATATCATTTTGTGTAAAAGTATACAACAGTAGCTACCTAAGGTGTAAATTGATCAGTGCCAGAGGAGCTGCTAGTATCTTAATCACAACTGCCATATTGAAACCTCTAGGTTGCCTTTGCATGTGTCTTCAAGTAAATCTAGTTAGTACAAGATTCTCCTTCAGTTTTTAAGTGGGTCAAGAGCTGTTGTGGTATGACATTTCTAAGCTGGCGGGATACCAGACCTCTGTCGAGGCTTCAGTCATACTTGTCTGACTTCCACATTTTGTACTGACAGTTTGCTCTGGTCCAGCAGGCTAAAGCTTTTATGTCCTCCTTTGAAGGAGAAGCATTAGAAACATTTCTCTGGCTTATCATGTTAGCTTTCATTCTGTCTGGATGATGATTATCACCTGGCCAATAAAGGCAGCAATCTCTTGCATAAGAAGGGTTGCATCTCTCACTGCTCAATTGTTTTCTATTTGTACTGCCTTTTTCTGGTAGTTGGCTCAAAGTGACATTTTTCCTACTGAAGCTTCTTCATATTAAAGAGACACTGCTGTGGCTGCCTTCTCTGAAAGTAAAATAAGTCATTCTTGGAGACCTTTGCAACCCTTTACCTCTAATCTTGAAGAGAGTCCTGCAGACAATGTATTCTACTGATGGGATTTCTGAATGTTCTGATCTGTTTTGGTAGTCTTTGACAAAACTATTTTTTTAACAATAGAACTATTCTGTTGCATGCATGTATTTTTAGAAAACTAGCAGTTCTAGCCTTCTAGATTAATGATGGTTAGTCTCTCTCTTTCTCTCTCTTTTTTAGCATCTGTTCTCCAGCCTAGTGAAACAGTAAGTAAATTCTGTCCTTCCAATGGGAATAAGCAAGCATAAAACATCAAGTAAACAATAACTTAAAGTTTTAAGAGTTCATTAGGGAGCTACTTAATCCTATGTATGAGAGACCGAAATAAAAATAAAAGATGTTTTGGGGTTCTTTGTCCAAACTGGAAAAAAGGTGAAGTATGAATACTGACCATATGGATTCTATTGAGTTACTTTCTCCAAGAAAGAGTATGTACACAGCAAACATTATTGGAACCCTAAAATGTTCCTGTATTTTTTAATGAAAGACTGTGAAGACAAAAGGTGCTTTGTTTGACATGATCATTCTTCTGTTATGCAGGCATCCATGATACCTCCCCCAGCTTCTTCAGGTGAGGAACTGTTCTCTGGGGCATGCTGGTACAAATGTTTTACCTGTTGGCTTCCCTTTTATGTATCTTGTTATTGAAAAGCAGGCAAACTATCTCAAAGTGGATATGCTAAAAACACACAGCAAGTCAAAACAATTACCTGTAAAGCCTGGTATAGAACGGTGGAATCTGTTGAGGGGACAGAAATCCAGTGAAATCTGTCTAGTAGACCTTCTTGATGGGATTTATTGCTTTAATTAATGTAGGCATACAGTATTGATAGAGCATGTTATGTTAAAATAGATCTTTTGACAGCTCCTAAAATAGATCTTTTGACAGCTCCTAAAATAGATCTTTCACTTCTCTGTCCTAATAGACAAGTCTTACAAGTAGATGCAATATTTTTTCATAAGTGCTCAAAAATAAATTATTCAGTCTGGGACCTATTTTCAGGATTGGAATCTTCTTGTCAGTGCCAGGTTGGCTCATTTTCAGGCTTGCTGATTTGAAGCTTATTAGCTTCTTGAAACAAATGATACAGACTGTTTGGAATATACAGTTTTGTGTGTATGTGGTGTGCGGGGTGTTTGTAGGTTGACTTTTTTGGCAAAGTGGGTTTTTAATACATGTGAAACTCGGGCAGAAATTTATTTCTTGAGGAAGATTAAATCTAATCAGCTTGTCTCAATTTTTCTCCCCAATTTTTCATAATTTCAACCTATAAATATTACTGAGTAGTTCATACTCTAATATGCTGGTTTAGACCAGATCTGGGTAATCCAAGAGCAAAAACTTGCTTTTTGGTGGGCCTCTAAATTTGTGCTACTTCTAGGAAATAGTATATGCCATTCTTATATTATTAATGAGCCAGTGAGAGCCTAATAAAGCATGAAATATCTAAATATGACTCTCCCAAAATATACATTTGAAAGGGCAATGGATTACACCAAATCAAATCAAGGCATTCTTTTAAGTGTCTCTGACCATGTAACAAAGTTTGAAAAGAAGTAGGTAGTAAAGGGTATATTTTGCAAATGATAGAAGAATTTATATCTATACAAGAAATTAGAGTGGCTAGGAAAGTGGATTTATTTGGCCAGGGTAATACAGTAAAATACCTTGTTTCTGTGCATGATCCCTATACTTTCAAGACAATGACAGAACTTGCAATGACTTAAAAGTGAGATAGACCAAATCTAAAAACTTAAGAAATAATGGCCTTCGAAGCTCAGCAAAATTTCTGGTCTTGCTTCTCATGTATGCATAGGCCTTTTTAATCAAGATGTTGTAATTAAAATTTAACTTTTATTGATGCAGTCTTTAACTTTTAAACATTTTTTAGATGTGTTCCAAACTTGATCTGGGTCTGGCTGTTAAACTGACAGCCAGTGCTGCTTCTGAAACATCTTAGTTTCCTTACCTTAATTTATACATCTGTTTAAAAAGAAGGTGCAGTTGTGGGAGTTTTTGTTAGGGCTGAAAAAGGAAAGCTACATGTACTGTAAACACTTGCAAATAATGGGAATAGTTTGTAATGAGCACCTTATTTAGTAGGCCATTAGAAGCTTGTTTAAAAAGTTTATTTGCAGACTTTTGTTGTATCAGCTCTATGTAGGGGGTTTTGTGTTGTTTTTTGGGGGGGATTTTTTTAAGGTCCAGAATGACTTTGGTCACTCAGGAATTGTTGGATGGCATGTGGTGTTATGAATTAATGATAAAGGCATGCTTATACAGCAGGTGCTAATGATGTTTCTGTGCCCACCATTTCAGTTCGGAAGCCACGATATGTCAGACGAGAACGGTCACTAGTGACGTCTGCATCTGCTGCTATGATCTCTTCTTCTGAAACCAGGGTCAGCAATGTTTAGCCTTCATTCTTGACTGAGGACTTGATAAGTGTACACAGTGTCGAAGAAACTTTTTCTGAATCCACTGAAGTGCCAGGAAAACATCGCAAGCAGCTGACCTAAATGGAAGCCAAATTACTGTCTCAAAGGGTTTGTGCCAAATGTTAACAGAGAAATGAACTAATGCAAAGATACTGATGGCAGGCTACATCCAGTTCGGTGAACTGCTTTGGTGATCTTGAAATGCACTATTCCAGCTCTGTGGTTTCATTTGTCTCCTACAGATGCTGTGTTTAAAATCTTTAAATAATCTGCCTTTCTTTGGTACACTTTCAGTTTTGGCAAGTTCTTCCTGTGTTGTGATGTGTTCTGTGTCCCCAGAGCTGAATGTCTCAGTGCTGCAGGCCAACACAAAACACTGAGATTACTCAAGGATGTGGACTTGTTTGAAGGACCCACTTGTAAATGCTACTAACACTAAGTGCCACTGCTTTTAACGTTGTAGGACAATATAACAATACTTAACATGCAGTATCCTTTTGAAGCAAAAAATGATGCCTCCTGGAGCATCCTCTTCAGCCTATGACATAGCTGACCCTGGTTTTTAACTGTGAATATAGACCCGCTATCCAGATACTGTTGTTCTTGGTGCTTTTGAAGGCTGTGGACAGTATAGGTCCAATCCCAAGTGTGGGAATTTGTTGGGAAGCTTTTCCAATTGGCTTCAGCTTCGTCCTTGGATAAAGAGCCATTTGCTATGGCTTTATAACTGATAGGCTGCTATGTCTGTCCTGCAAAGACTGTCTCTGCTAGCACTCTTCCCTTAACGTAACAGTTGAAAGGAAACCAAAATTCCTGCAGAGTAGCTGTGCATCCGTTGGGCATGTCAGTGGGTATTGAGATGATCTGGAGAGGTCAGGTGAATTTCTGCCAATGCAATAAGGGGTTTCTTTGGTCAAGCCCTTGATTAACAGGCCTGACATCTGCAGGCCAGCACCTTATGACAGAGCTCGACAAGTATTTCGTAGTTGAAAGTGCCAGCCTAAATAGCCCTCACTCTTGGATGCTTGTTCTTGCCCATCTTATGCCAGCTGTGTGGCTGAGTAGTCACTTTATGAGGAAATTAAAGTAGCTGTTAAAGTCATTTTTTTTTGGCTAGGTTCTCTTTCACCAATTTTTTTCCTGGCATGGCTGACTTGCTATGTGAACATGTATAGCAGCATAATGGGCACAGTGGTATGGGCATAAGAGTGGGTGACTGGAAAATAAGTGAAAAATCTGAGGTTGCTAAATTGGTTGAAGTTCACTGTCACCATATGTGAAATTATAACTATGCAGCTTGTGCATTCCCACCTACCTGTGTTGCTATTGCCTGTTTTGGTTTAGCTGGCACTCCATTATGGGTCTATGCTCCTAAAATAAATTACTTGGAAGCTCTTCATCGGCATCCACTGGCATGAACAAACTGGAACAGCCTGTTCTCTTTTTTCAGGAAAATGTGAACATAACTGTCTTGAGCTGACATGACACCCATATGGAGAGTCCAAACCTTGTGATCCAGATTCCCTTTTCTCTGTGGTTAAAAGCTTATTGAAACCTAAAAAAGGAGAACTGGGATGGGAGGAGATAAATATATCTTATTGAATAGACCTGTTTTTATGTAAGTTTCAGTGCAGTTGTGTTTACTTTTATCTCTGTCCTTACAAAGTAATGAGATCTCTTGTAGCATCCAGACAAGCTAGGGTAAAGATTGGGGATAAAGAGCAAACCATGAAGAGGACCCTGTGTCAAAAAAAAAAAAAAAGCCTGAATTGCTGTATGGAGAAACTTAAGATTGTCTTTCTATCACAATGATAAATGAAATTTTTGTTCTACTGGACAAAACTAAAGACAGCAGACAATGTCATTTTGAGACCCTTCACTTTTCAATATGAAATGTGCTTTATAGTTCGTTATGTTCCAAGTTCAGGAGGTGGCAGTTTTGTTTCTGTCGTTTTGATGTCTTTTTGTCTTTGTGCTGCTGTGATTTTCCACAGGTAGAAATTATGTCTGGAGGTCATAGACTTTTTCTGAACTTAGTTGCTGAATATTTTCCTAACTGCTAAAGAAAAGGAGTAACTATGCAAATAATGCCAAGAAACTGCACCTTTGAAAGCAGGGAGTTTCTGCTTGCGAATCTATCAATGATAGTGCATTCTTGTATTGCTTAGTTGCTAATGTATTCCTTCTACACATAAATTACTGAAGGATCATTCAAGTCATTGTACCGTCTGAACCCTATCTTATCCTCAAGTGCATATTGTAACTTAGTTTAATGTCAAGCGTCTAGTGCTCTAACTTCTGTGCAGTCAAGTTTTTCTCAATGATAACATCTTTCCCTTCCCATATTCTCCCCCCCCAGCAAACTCTTTTAAATGCAGCATATTTTTACTATTTTTCTGTGTGTTTCAGGAACTGTTCAGCTTTTGTTATTGCTGTCTGACACAGTGGACTCCTGGTCTAAACAGTTTCTCATTCGCTTGCTCTGTCAAATTAAATATATGATGTGGTGTTTTGGTTTCCATCTCCCTTCAAAATAATAATACATACCTATATATATATATTTTAAAAAATTGGCTTTAATGAACCCTGGTATTTAATGTATTTGTATATTTTTAAATTGTGTTAAAATAAACATATTCGAGCTTTTTTTTAATGACTGTGGAGGTCATTCATGTGTTTCCTTTTCAAGCACAGAATGAAGGGAGCTAAATTTAGCACCCAAAGTAGATAATTGTTTTGACTCGTATGGCATGTTACCTCCACTGGAACTGAAGTTTAAAAAAAAAAAAAAAAATCTGCTGAATGATCCTGCCCAGTTCTACAGTAGGATAGCCAGGCTGTTCTTCTGCAGGCTATATCTTCACACCTTAAACCATATGGTAGAAGCCACCCATAATGGCCTTACCTGTAGTGGTGTGAAAGTAACTCTTTGGCAGAAACTGTAGCTTCAGTAGATGACAGAATTTTTACATTAGTGTATGCTTACTTAAATCTCATTCAAAGAAGATAGCAGGAGTAGCAAGAAATCTCTTTTAGAGGAGGCTGCTAAATAGTGCCAAATGTACCAGAAGTCGAGGTTATCAGGATAATTTCTTATCAAGTGAAGATTATGGTCTTGGGTTTGGGGGTTTGGATATCTTCCCCTATCTGATCTCTGATTAATTTAAATAAGTGTGTTCTTACTGTCCTTTCTCTTCCCTGCCTGGGAATTTGGTACTCTTGTTGGACTTCTTTCTTACAAATGTATCTTGTGTTCTTCACTCCAGTTGCCAAAACAATCCACAATAACGAGAGCTGAGCCAAAGGAAATTGGGATGCTGAGCCATATGGTCTGAAATACTAGTCGTTAAATTCGGCAAAGCTCTTTTCCCTCACAGAACTAGCTGAAGTAGCCTGACATGTGAGAAAAGATGCTGCTTTTAGTGAAGTATGCTGATGAGCGAAGGATAAGCCAAATGCTTTAATGCCTACGGTGCATGCACTGTGGAAAGTCTAATAAACTTTGTTGTCAAAGCCAAGGTGACAGTGTCACATACAAAGAGAAATTGGCCTGGAAAATTATCCCACTGGGACAGGAAGACTTAAAAGTGGATTTGTCAGTTAAATGGACTCTGACCACCATGCACACCAGCATATAACAGCCTTTGGGAAGAGGAAGTACTAAGTGTCCTTGCCATTAGTCACCTGACTGAATTCAGTAGGTGAAATTGGCAGTAAGTGAACTGGGGAGAGCTGTAAGTGGATGTATGACAACAGGGAACAATTTGAGACTGTATTTTGCACACTTGAGAGGAGCTGTCTCCCTTATCCATATGACACCATCTGAAGGTGAGTGCATGGTAGGTAGAAGACTCTGACAATCGTTTCTTAAAATTGTAAGTCTAAAACCTTGTTTCACTAAAATCTGTTATCCGGTTACAGGCCTTCCAGAAGGCTGGTGTCATATGCATAAAGAATGAAACAGAAACGATATTGCATACAGGCCCTCTAAAGTATTTTGCTGTATGAAACTGCATGAAGTTTGCTAAAGTGATAAAGCTTTGTGCAAACATAATGACTTAGGTTCAACCTACCTTCCCCTAGGCATTAATCAAAGTTCACAGAAACTGCGTTCTGAAGTTCTGTCTTGTGTCTTTCTCTGCATTTTTTTTCTTTTTTTCTCCTCTTCTGTCCCCTGCCTCCATCAAAAGCTTCTTGGAAACGTTGCTTGGAAATACGCCTGGGAGTACAGGCACAAGTCTAACTTCCTGACAGTAAGATTTGAAGGCTGAAAGCTGTTAAACTACAGAAGAAATTGAAGGGGAGTGGAAAAAGAAGCTGGGGGGACAACTTAGGTGCTAATTGGGAAAAAGGAGCAATACGGTTTTTGTTCTTGTCCCTCTACAGTTACACAGGATGTGATCTAAGTTGCATGGGCAAAGAGATGGAAGAGTAGGAAAGAATACCGAAGTTGATACAAAAGCTTGAGGCTCTATCATCTACTTGAGATTTGTAGATAACTGGGTGGAGAGATTCAGCAGTGTGTGACTGTACAGAAATGCTGTCTGCTACAAACGGTTGAGCTTAGCAGGGAAGTGTAGCTGTGCTGTGCCAAGCTAGTACCTACACAAGAAAGCAAACAAAACAAACAGAAGTTGTACCTGCTTGCACTCAGAATTAATTTGGTTGTCATTTTAAGCTGTTTGAAAGAATGCATTTAAGATGTAGTCAATATCTGGAGTGTGCTTGTGTTGCTCTTGCTACCAACACTGAGGTTTGTTGTAGTGTCTAAAGGCTGCTTTGCATTTTTGTCATTTATTTTTAATGCTCCCTGGTGGAAAAAAAAAAAGAAATGATACAGTGTTTATCATTCTAATAGCCTCAACATATTTTTATTGCTAACTGATTGGAAGCAACAGTATTCAGATAATTGCACTTCCTGTTTCAGAGCCTGGTGATTTATGTCCCTTAGTAAAGTGTTAAGTATTCTGAAATGATAGTTTCAGTAAGATGTGATGCAGGTTGGAGGTATTTGCTCCAAATGATTAAGTCTTTACCATTAAAGTTGCTGTATTCTGTAACAGGACTAATATAGAAGGGGTTAGGCTTTAGACATGTCATACTGATTTTGTAATGAGTGTTGTTTATAAATAAGTCATCTGTTTTGTTGCAATTTTACATCCATCAAATTGTAATGTTCTCTTCTGCTTCACAATCCCACTCCCCACAGGAATGCAGTAATTTGGAGTGGGATGCTCGACTTCCTAAAATGCTCAGGCTGTTCCACAATGCTGTAGTATAGTTCGTCAGCTCATCAAATTACTATAACTTGATGTCAGTGCCTGTAAAACTCCAATGATCTTCTGATGGCAATTACTCCCCTTTAAATACCAGTACGTAACTGTTCTTTCCTAGACCGTGATCTTTTCTTACAAAAGTAAACTTCATCCTGCTACTTTCTCTCTGTTATCTCCATTGCATCCACACTGCAGACCCTCAAGATACAACCTACAAAGGACAGGAGGTGGCACCAACATTTGTATGTGCTCCTTTATGATATGAAGAATTCCTAGACTTACATAATGAAATCTGAAACTTTCAATGGGGGTAAAGAAAAGGGAGACCTGCAAAAAGAGTTCATTTTAAATACACACACAATGAAGCTAACTTTAAATGCTGCTCAAATTATTTTTGGCAGAGCTTAAAACAGCTACAGAAATGTTTTCAGCAGTAATTGTGCTGAAGATAATGATTTAGGAATAAGTTAACTATGGGGAGGCATCTTGTTTGCATGCAACTTTATGTATTACATAAGGAACTGCTAGTTTATAATGTACTGAGAAATGTGCTGTAAGTAGTAAGGTTCAGGACCTTACTTGACTGAGGGCACTTGTGATTAGATATGTTGCAATAAGGGGAAAAATGCTTTTCATCAGCATCTGCTGCCAATTCACATCAAGCCCAAATCATTACTGACTGCAAGTTGCTGCAGTCTGACTGCTGTGAAATGAGTTTGGCAGTCCACTTCCCAGCACATAACTGACCATGTCCTAGGTCTCCAGAACTGGGCCATTGGGTAA